TTTTTTCGTTCCAACTTCCAATGGCCTCCCCGGTATTGTCCGCCGCCGCCACCGAGCCTACTTCCGCCGCTGTCAATCCTTCGACGACGAGCGAGCAGACGCCGTCGTTGAGCGCGGAACAACAAACAATGGCGTCCGAGCCGCCGTCTGCAAGCATCATCCCTAATGACGTGCTGCCACCGTCACTGAGCTCCGCCCGGGTTCCACCGATCTTCACGTGGACTCCGACTCCACCGTCCCTCACGTTTCCGCCGCTACTTCAGGCCGACTCACAAGGAGAGTCAAGCGCGACTGCCGCTGCTCGGTTTGCTGGTCCGACTCTTTCCGACAGTCCGGGGCTTCTTTTGCCGCAAAATTCAGGGACGATCGACCGCAACCCCATAGCAAACACTGTCTGTTTCGTTTGCTACTTTGGCTCAAGGTATGACTTTTGGGGCCTCAATTACACAAATTGTGACCTCAAAATTACTTAAAGTAGAGGATTATCTGCCATAGCGTACTCAGTTTGAATCCTTTTTGGTGGCTAATGGTGTTTTGGGCATTCTTGATGGGTCTCTTCTTGCTCCGCCTCTATACACCTATGATTTATATCAGGCTCAATCTGTTAATCCTGAATATTATCATTGGTTGAAATTGGACCAAACTGTTCGTGCTTAGCTTTTTGCTACCCTATCTAAGGAAATTTTTATGGAGGTTCACACTTTGAAAAATTCTTTTGCAATCTGGCACCGTTTGGAGTCTCGGTTTATGGCTGCCAGCCTGGCACGATCCATGAAGTTAAAACAGATGTTATCTCACACCAAGAAGAAGGAGAATAAGTCCATGGAAGAATATGTCCGCGGCATTCAAACTATTGCTGACAATTTAGCCTCCATCAATTCCCCGGTTTCCAATGCTGATCTTATTCAATATACGCTTTTAGGATTGGGACCCGGTTATGAATCACTAGTGGGGCCCCTTACCTTATTTCCTGAAGGACTCACTTTTGACAAATTAGGCACGAAACTGGTTCATCAAGAAGCCCGCTTACGTTACCAACAATCCTTGGAACTGTCACTCTCGGTCCCGGCGTTCGCTGCACATCCTAATGGCGATCATCAACCCCAGCAGCCTGGCCGAGGACGTGCGGCGGCTTCCGGCGATAATCAGCAACAACCGCCGGGTAAAGGCGGACGTGGTGGCCGACGAAGGAACCGCGACAGAGGGCGTGGCCGATACCAACCGCAGCAGCAGTACGGTCAGCCTCTGCCGTATCTCGGCCCCGGACAACAGCACTATCCGCCGGCAGCACATCCTAGAGGGGCACATCCACCATAAAATTGGGGATCTGGTACAGTTTTTTATAATACAGAATAGTTTTGGTTCAGTCCCTCCACCTGTTGTTTGTCAAATCTGTCACTCCCCAGGTCATTCAGCTGTAGCGTGTCCGTCTCGTTTTGTTCAAACTCAGGCTCCAGCCTTAGCGGTCTTTACTGGTGAAGCCACTTCAGCTGTTTGGTATCCTGATTCCGGTGCTTCCGCTCACATGACTCCAAATGAAGGTATTTTGAATAATAAATCTATTTATTCTGGACCACTAAAAATTACGGTTGCTAATGGATCTAATCTTCCTGTTATGACTACTGGTAATTTGCATCTAGCTACTAAGCCTCGGCCTCTCCATTTAAAATCGGTTTTTCATGTGCCTAATCTTAAATATAATCTTCTCTCCATCCAACGATTGTGTGCCGATAATAATTGTTTTGTGATTTTTGATAAAAATCATGTCTGTGTTAAGGACACAATTTCGGGGAAGGTGCTCCTCCAAGCTTCTAGTAATGGTGGTGTTTATCATATCCTTATCACTCATCCATCCCCAGTTGCTCTCAGTTCACAAGCTGCTCCCGGACCAATTTGGCATCGTCGTTTGGGCCACTGTGGAAGTCGTATTTTAGATAGATTAAAAAGATCTGGCAATGTTCTTAGTACTTCTAATTTTTCTCATGATTGTATTTCTTGTCGATTAGGAAAATCACAACGATTACATTTTCAAGAAGTGTGGCATAAATCTACTGCTCCTTTGTTTTTAATTCATTCTGATGTTTGGCAGTCTCTTGTTCTTTCTTCAAGTGGCTTTAAATATTATGTTTTATTTATTGATGATTTTTCTCGGTTTACTTGGCTTTATCCCATGCATCATAAAAGTGAAGTGGTGAGACATTTTCAAAACTTTAAATCCATGGTGGAAAATTTACTTGATGCTAGAATTAAAATTTTTCAAAGTGATGGAGGGGGTGGATTTGACAATCATGCTATGCGTGATATTTTTACCAAAAATGGTATTTTATTTCGCAAATCATGCCCTGACACTCCTGAACAAAATGGCATAGCTGAGCGCAAACACAGACATTTACTTGAATTAACTCGCACTATGCTCCTTGACACAAAATTACCTGCTCATTTTTGGGTAGATGTTGTGTTTACCGCCACATTTATTATTAATCGGCTTCCTACTCCAAATTTAAATGGCATCTCTCCTTATCAAAAATTATTCCACCAGTCTCCCGACTTCTCTTTTATGCGTGTGTTTGGTTGTGCCTGTTTTCCGAATTTCAATGCCACTTCTGCCAATAAATTGTCTCCTAGATCCACCTTATGTGTTTTTCTAGGATATGCCCCTGAATACAAAGGTTATCGTTGCTTTAATCCTATTACTGACAAGATCTATATAAATCGGAATGTGCGGTTTTTTGAAAATTATTTTCCTTATTCCGATTTAATTTCTGTTCGTCAAAGGGACACTTCCACAATGCCCGTCGACAGTACAGTGAGTTTGCATGATTATCACCACTCTCAGACCTCTCTGCCATCACCTATGCATCCCAGTTTCCCGCCACAGACCTTTTCAGATCACCAGCAGAAAACCCCAGCGCACCAGCCCACTGCTGCCCGCGGCAACACACCCGAACCCCACCAACAACCTGCCACCAGCACCACTGCCTGCGGAAGCACACCAGACCACCACCAGCAGACCCCCATCCTTACTGCCGAACCCATAGACTCCCCACGGCAGACCCCATCAGACCACATCCTCAGTCACACTTCTTCCAGCCCGAGCCCGAGCCCTTCCCCACCTGCATCTTCTCCTAAAAATTGTCATCCTATGCAAACTCGTGCTAATGCAGGAATTTTTAAACCAAACACTATTTTTACTCTCAAAACAGATATTTCGGCATGTGATCCTTCATGTTTTTCAATGGAAAATAAAGATGCTAAATGGAGAGCTGCTATGGCTGAAGAGTTTAATGCACTTATTGATAATCATACCTGGGATTTAGTTCCGTTTAATACAATTAAAAATGTGGTTGGCTCTAAATGGATTTATAAAACAAAATTTAATGCTGATAGATCTGTTGAGCGCTATAAGGCACGTCTGGTTGCACAGGGATTTACTCACCAAGCTGATATGGATTTTTTTGAGACCTTTAGTCCTGTTGTTAAACCCACTATTGTTCGTATTGTTTTATCTCTTGCCGTCTCGTATAAGTGGTCCATTCATCAGTTAGATGTCAAAAATGCTTTTCTTCATGGCAATCTAACTGAAGAAGTTTATATGCGTCAGCCTCCTGACTTTGTTCATCCTTAGTTTCCTAATCATGTTTGCAGGCTCAGGAAGGCTATCTATGGTCTTAAACAGGCTCCTAGAGCTTGGTTTTATCGGTTCAGTAGTTTCTTAGTAACCCATGGTTTTGTGTGTAGTAAGTCTGATAATTCTCTATTTATTTACCGCCATGGGTCTCACATTCTTTATCTTCTGTTGTATGTGGATGACATCATTATCACTGGTAATTCCTCTTCCTTTATTTCCACTTTTATCTCGTGTCTTGGCCGCTGTTTTGCCATGAAGGGTTTGGGAGATTTACATTTTTTCCTAGGTGTCCAGGCAGTTCGAACACACTCCGGTTTGTTTCTGTATCAACAAAAATATGTGTCTGATCTATTAAACAGGTTTCATCTCCACACTCTTAAACCAGTTCGTACTCCGCTTCCTACTCGAACTAAGCTGTCTCTCACTGATGAGGATCTTCTTGCAGATCCTACTGAGTACAGAAGTATGGTAGGTGCTCTGCAGTATTTGACTATGACTCGACCTGATATTACATTTGCTGTTCACCTGGTCTCTCAGTTTATGCATGCACCCCGTACTACTCATTTATTGGCTGCTAAGCGTATTTTCAGGTATCTACAGGGGTCAGCTGCTCACGGCCTGCTTCTCCAGTCCAACACTTCTTCTCCTACTTTGCAGGCTTATTCAGATGCTGACTGGGCCGGATGTCCTGACAGTAGCCGTTCTACTTCTGGTTTTGCTGTATTCTTGGGTCCAAATTTAGTCTCATGGAAGTCCAAGAAGCAGCCCACTGTCTCCCGATCTTCTACAGAGGTTGAATATAGAGCTATTGCTTACACAGTTCAGGATACACTACATATTCGTTCAATTCTATTCGAATTAGGCGTCTCTATTCGGGATCCGGTACAACTATTGTGTGACAATGTTTCTGCCTCCTACTTGTCCACTAATCCCATTCTGCATGCCCGGAGCAAGCACACCAGCATTGATTATCACTTTGTTCGAGAGAGAGTTTCTCATGGAGATCTGGTGGTTCGCTATGTTCCTACTCAGTTTCAGCTAGCAGATATTTTCACTAAATGTCTGTCACCACAGGGTTTTATTTTTCTTAAGGACAATCTGCGCATTGTTTCCCCTACACAGTTTGAGGGGGTGTAATAATGTAATTAATACCATTAATTAGGTTTCCTAATGTATTCAGGACATATTTTTATTATATATATGACACCTAGGGCTTACTACATTGGTAAACCTTTCCATTATTCTCAGATATTACAGCACTTGGAAAACATGATGTATCTTCCCTAACAATCTATCCTACGCAATATGGCAACAGAACAAGAATATTTCAAAACTTTTTGTCCGCGTTGAGGGCTGTTAATTGTATCCGCTGTCCTTTTTTACTACGACGAAATACGATAATCGTTGGGTGAGATTAAACAGCACACGATCCATGAGGTATTTTGTGTTTCTTGTTTTGTTTCTTTATCATCATGGGTTGTGTCCGGTCTCCAGTTAACCCTAACATTTGGGGATTTATTTTATGTATAGGATGCTTCTCGTTGCAGGAATAAGGACATTTTTCTCTTTCTTTTAGAGGCTGTATTGTTGCTTTTCTCTCCATTTGATTATTTAAATCTGATGAAGTTGAAAAAAATGGCTCAGGGATCCAATTCATGGGATAGATTTGGGCGAGGTGAAGCATGTGAGTCGATTCGAGTTGGAAGACATGACTGATGATTTCAACCAGAAAAACATTGTTGCTAGAGGTGTGAGGGGTCGGCTATTCAAAGGTGTGATGACACAAGGTTCAGAGACTCGGGAGGTTACCGTCAAAACATGGGATTTTTCTCCCCCTCTTAATATTCGTGATATGAACTGCTACTCGGACGCTTTGGCAGTAATGAATGGATCATTACTTACTCCAGAATTTATCCCTCTCATGAAATCATTGTTCATTTCTGATCTTGAATGCGAGTTGTTTTCATTTTCTTTCCTTTGGTGGTGTATTGTAGGGTGAGCTTTTGTTGCTGACCAACTCCGGATATCTCATCACATCCTAGTCTGGTGAAATTGATTGGATATTCTGTCCAGAATTGGCTTGCAGTTGTCTTTGATTTTAAATGGAATCCAAACACTCCAAGATCTTATTCCTTGTGGTAGTTTTTCGCTGGAGCAGCGGATGAATGTAGCAATTGACCTTGCACAAGCCATAGAACATCTTCATGATAGACAGATAGCCTTGGGAATCTGTCTGCTTCGAATGTGTCTATCGATCAGGAATATAAAGTTAAGTTATTCAACTTTGACTCCCACCTGAATCCGAGATTCCCGAGGAGGTACATCAATGCCCTCAAAACAGGGGATCCAATACATTATACAGACTGCGAGAAAAAGAATGCTCTTGCTTTAGATGTGTATGCATATGGCGTCCTGCTTAAGGAGGTTGATAGCTCAGAAACTGGGGTGTGCCAAAGAGGTTACTGATGGCAGGACCTACTCATACGTTGAGCAATCCTTGCTGGGGTTGGGGCAAGCGATGTATGGAGTATGCCGTTGATTGCCGACCAAGCATACATGATGTTGTTGCTTCACTAAAACAACTCTCTCCCACAAGAAAGAGGAAATATAGAAACACAGCCTCACTGAGCGATGATGATGATGAATCCATGGAACTGTGTTAATTGTGGGGGTGGATGGATTATGTTTGAAACAAACAACTATACTTTGACAATTATGGTGGCTAAAAAATGTGTATTTGAATTTAATATACGGAGTATATTGTTTTCTCCCTCCCAAAAAAATAAAAGAGTATATTCCAACAATTCCAGGTTTATGATTGATAGTGTCCTTATCATTCTATAAACTTGAAAGTGGATTAAATAATACGGAGTAACTAGATCGGATCATCTAAAAATATTAAATTATACTATGTGTATATATATACATGGAAAGTAATTTAAAAAACAAAAAGGAAATGGAACGTCTGCCGCATCTATGATAGTATGATTTAGTTCCTTGCACATAAATTGAGTGCTACAAGAATATTTGCAATTGTTTTTGCTTAAAAAAACCATTTTTTAAATTATTTTGAAACAAGTGCTTAACAATAAAAGTCAATAGTGTTTGAGAAAAATTTGGTTTTGAAAAGTAAAAGTTGATACGGAATAGTATTTAGTTAAATATGTTCTTTTTTGTGTTATAGAACAAGTAAAATCAAGATTCTAGCTTTTAGGTTTTAAAAGTGTTTAATTAAAGTAAAAGTTGTCACTTGAGAACACTTTTTTTAGATTTTTAAGTCAAAAGCTCAATTTTTTTTAATTCTTTGCAAACATACCCTATGTATTATGGAATACAGAGTAATGATTAATTATTATTTTTATGGAGTTGTTTATCATATAAAAATATTCACTTGTGAACGTGTATGTATCTAGAATTCTAAAGCAATAGTTCAATTCACGTTTGTCTTATGGTTATGACATATGGAGATATGGTTTATTTCACTTGATTATCTGGGCTGGTTCCGGGCCGGTTGGCCGAACCCGAGTCCACCCCTAATGAGATATAATTCATGAATTACTGTTTCATCAAAATTTTAACTAAAAAACAAAAAATCACAAAACAAAAGTTAGTAGTGCCGGCCGCCATAGTGGTGGACTCGGTTCGGGCCTACCGAACCGCTCAAATCCTGGTGCGGGCTCGGGCCCCCTAAAATGCGAACCGGTCCGGCTGGTTCGGGCCTATTTTTTTTTGTTTTTTCCAATTTTTTTTTTGTTTCTACCGGGTTGGGCTGGGTGTTTGGGGGGGGAGGGGGGGGGGTTGGGGTTAATTTAGAAAATCAAAAGAAAATAAAAAAAATAACATTGAACCGGAACCAGCCCAGTCTGGAAACCGCTGGCTACCCGAGCCGGTTCCGGTTCTCCCTTCCCAAAAGAAAAAGCCCGGCCAAGCCCAGGCCCGAACCGGAACCCTGCCCAGCCCGGGTCCATCCCTAGGCCGCCATGTGAAAAATATACTCCGTATTT